GGTGGGTGATGATGACTAGCTGCCTTCTCTCTCTAGTCTTACACTGCTAAATTAGGGACGGCTAGTGCAGATAGCCCTCGTGTAGCTTTGCGCGAAATCCATAACAAACAAACAAATAAACTCCTTCCGTTTAACTTTTCATAAACAGCTAGAGAAGTATTTCAAACTTTGTATTCTACGTCAGCTGTATCAGGGTTAATGTAAACTTCACTCTCACCACTTTCCAACGTTTCAGCTCTATCTCCTTCATTGTTCTAGTATAGCCTGAGCTCTTGAGATTTTCTGTAACAAATAACTACAGTTTGTGGATGTGTTCAACCACACTTTCACTTGTTATGTAATTGTTGAAGCTTGTAGTTAGAGGAAGAAGTCGTTAAAAGTGGGGGTACAGCCCGGTTCATCCAGATCAAAGAGGACGACATACATTGCAGGTATATACAATGACCATACCCAGCCTTATGATTGAAGTACTCTTATTTTACAATCTTATAATAACCTCATTTATAATGCATCGTTACATTTCTCATCTGTTATTGTACATATTCCTATCCGTCAACAACAGTTATTTTTAAGTACTTTACATAATCTTGGGGACAGCTATAAATACCTAAAGAATAAACACAAGACCTAAGGAAAATATTACTCCTCTTTTTTTGTTTAAACAAGAAATGGTAGAATGTTTTTCTACCCTATTGTAGTTGATTATCACCGTGAGTCTGCTATGATCCTAAAAATATTTTAAACTTCTACTTGTCAGTTTGTATCTCTCATTCAGCCACACCACTGGACTGAGGATGAATTAATGAACTTGTGTATGTACTTACCATCTAGTATTCAAGAAAACTTGAGAAACTATTAGAATTAACTTCTTGATCCATGAGTGAGATATTCATCACTCAGCTAACAATGTTATCAGTCATCTATTGTGTTGAAGCAGTCACTGTTTAAATAGCCGTTATTTTCACCTTTAGATAATCATTTGATAACATATTTATAATAAGGCATATTCAGGAAATTCTTTGTAGGTGTTTTGCATGTAGTGAACTAATGACATTCTTGGAATATGAGTGTTAAAAAGTTATAAACATATAGTAATCCTCTACCCAAACAATAAGTTAATCTGACAAACACTTTATCCTACTCAGCTAATAGTTTACCGAGTTCTCTTTACTTGTTTATATCCAAGTTATTGTTACAGTCTTCAACCAGCAATCTTAGTTGCTCTGAACATCATGTATTTGCAGGTAGATATGATGTGGTTGTAATAATGCCAACTATATAAATAGTTTCAGCTATTTATTTTTCCTTACCTACATTATCTCCAAAACTTAATTATCTGAGTTATGGCTTGGGCAAAAGTGTCTGCCATATCACAAGGTTAAGCAAAGTCCTGACATTTTCACTATCTAGAAAAACTCAACCTCGTGTCGTTATATAACAACAAGCATGCTTCAAACTTTGCTCAAGCCATTTTGTGCTGAGCAAACCATCACACCTTCTGAGATGCAGCTAAATCAATGTTTCTCTTGTTTTAATTAGGCATCTCCAGCTCATTTGCCAAATATTTTTAGATTAGCTAGCGCAGCAGCTCTCATGTCTTCAACACTGTCCTTTTTCCTGTTGTCTGGCACTAGTATAAAATCATACCTGCTGATTCTCACTTGGGACTCAAATAAGATACAGACAGTATTGTTTCCCCATGCCCTGATTAACTGCATTTGTAGCAGCTTTGATTAATTTAAAAACACTGCTAGATACATTATACAGCAGGCGCAACAGTTTGTGGATAGTCCTTGTATTAAGGGTGGTAGCCAACCTTGCTTGATCATAAAAATTGATGGTGTCGGTAACTGAGCTACTTTGAGTCTATTTTAAATCCCCCAAAATGTGTGAACCTCTGGATTCTGTGCAGTTTGTGTACACATTGTAATGAATACTACAGACTTTTCAAGATCAGTAATTTCTTTAAAATTACAACCTCAATCCTTATTGATACAGATACTACTTCTGTTAGAGGTAAAATATTCCTCATGTCCAATTAATTTCACAGGGAATCAGTTGGTAGATCCTCAATGAATATGTCCATGAGGATATCTTTATGGTCTCTCACAGCTATACTTTAATAGGCTTTGCTATCAAAACGATACAGCTCATCCACATGTGCAGTCAGGTTTTCTCTTTGTTTACATTATTAAACTTTACATTTGGTTCAGTGGATAGCTTGATTGTTAACTGAATTTAACCCGCATCAGCACTACAAAGAATGATGCCTCAATTACACAACTTTTCTTTATTGAAGTGTTCCACCAAATCGAAGACAGTACCATCCAAATAAGAAACTGCTTACTGCATTGCTTGGTTTGATATTCAAGCCTTCTTTGCAGCTACTTGCTAGACTTTCTTGAGGAATTAGGTAGATCATTTCATTTTGTTTGTTCCTCCCTTGTATGAAGGTGATTTGATGTGTCTTCTCTCAACATTCCCTGCTGGGTTTGGTGAGGCAACTATACAAAATCTGCTCTCTTGCTAGATAAATCTAACTAAGGTTATATAAGCATGAGTACAGAGCCAAGCCATAATGATTTACTACCTCATTGGAATGTAAGGTTTTAGGTTTGATTGTACATCATGTAACTGGAACATTTGCATAATCAGCCACTTTGTCTTTGAATATAAGGGAATCCTCATAATCAACTAGTTGACTCCCCAGTTGGGAGAGTATATAGTCTGCTGTCATTCACCATCTTATCATATTTCACTTTCTACTTCAGGTAGAGCGATATGGAGCAGAACGTTGTATATACTGGACACATCTCACAAACTTGCGTTTCCAACTCTTCAGAACTGTAGTAAATTTAAACACTGGAGTCTGAGAAGAACCGAGGAGAACAGGTTAAAATTGCTAGAAACTCAGGTAGTTAAGACCCTAAATACTACAAGACAATCAAAGGATTCAGCAAACAAAGACTAGATGAAGAGACAGGTCCAAACAAAAATGTAAAACCAAATGTACAATTTTTGTTGGGCACTAGACAACCCAAAATGGAAAATCAAAGGATGATACAGATGAAATTGAAGTTCAGATAAACACAAACTGAACGTAAACATCATGACAAAATTTATACTTCTTACGTTGGTCGACTGTTGATTTTATACATAAAGAACACTAATCACCTCTATTCAGAATAAAATAAGAAACAAAACTCTACTTAAAATCTACAGAATTAGTCAGCAGGGCTACGAGCTTATTTTGACCAATCAACTCACGAAATTCAACAATCATATTATCTTTATACCTGCCTACACCATACAATAGCCTAGGCAATATCAAGGCAGTGTCTTGATTGGTAGTCTCCTGAAAATCTATAGTTCTAGAAACGCTTTTCACGTGTCTATAACAGGTGTAGATGTTCCCATCATACTAAGAGGGACTGAAATATTTTATATGCATAGATAACTTATTAATTATAGAATGGTGATGTAATGTAGGAAATGCAGCCTCTTTGGATAGATTGTGTGAAACAAACTCCTAATATAATATAATCATAATATTGGATAATAACAGTAAAGCAAGGTCTTATAATAAACTAGACAGAAGTATAGTATTTTCATTCACATTTTCCAAAATGTATTTCATAAAACGTATCATTGTTTACCATTAGACAAATTTATATCTAAAAATAAAAGATAAACATAATGAGAAAAAAAAAGATGCACCAGGATACTTATCTTCTAAAGAAACTTTAGTCTTTTAAATGTATCTTAAATTTTGTTAAATTGGCTGGCCAGTTGACTAAGACTCCAATCTAATATTGAATTGGACCACATCTTGCCATGGTAATAGTTTTGACTTTAAGTGCCATTAATGTCGAAAGGTGTTGGAAGGTATTTTTTTCAATTCCAGTTATAATCCATTTGTAAATGAGTTTGGTTTAAAAGTTGTTCATAGTTGTTTGTAGAGTATTAGGCTGGCGTGTGCGACATTTAAGTCTACCAAAAGAACGTTCATTTTGGGTTGATATCAGGAGACCAAGCTGGCCAAGGAAATTAACTGGAGTCATTTCCAATTTCTCTGAACAAATACAAGCATCGTGAAATATTGCATTATAATTTTGAAAGAGTTCATGTTAATCAGGGAGAAACTGTAATGGTGAGGGGTTGACAGGGTACACCTTAGATGTCATTTGTTCTTCTTGGAAAAAGTAAGGACATAACTCGTAATCACATTCACAAAAATACCACCCACATTATTACAGTACAAGAAAGGTACAGTGTCTTATGAGGTTTTCTCCATATTTGTACTCCACTTTCAGCACAGAAAGGGTGTGAATTGTAACTCATCAGGCCATGACGGGCATTATTCTTCATTTTTTACAGCCTAGTCTTATTGTTTACGTCAGATATGAAAGTTTCAAAACTGGGTGTTAACTAGCTGCCATATAACAGTTGGGTTTCTATAGACAAAATATATATTATTTATACTTACTGTGTTACTTAAAAATATGTGTTTATTTTGATGAAAAAGTAAATAGTGAGAAACAGATATATCAATAGCTAAATAGGGGATATACATACGAGATAGGTAGATCAATATATAAGTCGTGAGAAATATATAAATAGGTACAAACAGACAGACATGCAGATAGACAGATGGATCAGTAAACGATGAGAGAGATAAGCACTTTTTATTTACTGTAAAAAAAAGTACATTTCAATATTCTTATTGAAAACATATGAATACATTCTAGTCGTAAGAAACTTTGGAAGTAATTTTCACAATACAAAAATTTATTATAGGTGACGCTCTATGCTAATAATGTGTATAGGATTTCCTACAGTAATAACAAAATAACTTTATATCACAATGATTCCAACAACGTTTTCAGTCCTGATTGCATGTCAATATTTGAGTCACGTACATGCAGCGCCATCTGTGAATTTTCGCATTTATACATTATTGACGAATTCGCTAGGCAAAAGCATTTCGGTTCTCACGAGGTTTCTGCGATGACGGTAGTCGATGTACTCGACACGTAAGCATTCTCTTTTCACACCACTTTCCGACGCAGTAGAAATTTGTTCCAGTTACTATTTCGAACCTTTGTACCACTACTCTGAAAAGGAATTGAGTGTGTTTTGGTCATCTAACGTCTTACATGGACGCAAATTTTCTTAAGTGTTTCGTTCTTATTCTGTTTTAAAAGTTTATCAGAATCTCGGTAAGTACTCTACTACTATTACCTGTTCAAAAGGCCATTTTTGTTCAAGTTGGAACAGCGGCTTAATGCATGCCAGACGACTCTGAATCGGGGAACTGGGGAGGAATGATTTATCAACCTCTGATATCACTTCATTTAGTTTAGGAACTTTCTAAAGAGCTGGTATACCATCGGAAGTGTAATTGTTTTGAAGTTGTCGTTAAAACTCTTATTTGGAACGTGATAAACAAATTGAATGAACTACAGAAGCATTTATTTGGAACAGTGATGCTAACCAGGTAAGATGAAAATTACAATGATCATTATGGAATTTTATCACGATTATGTCATCTTAAATACTTAACGATCACTTTGTCCTTCTATTTCTTATATTCATTTTTATTATACTTGTGTTGAAAAAGGGCACGAACGTGTAAAACTGTAGAGGTATTTAGCAGTAAAGATTACATAAGGATGGAATAAAATACATAAATGTACGTTTGTGCACGTGCATATCAGATCTTTGAATTTGTTACACTGTAATTCAAAACTAAACTTAGGACATCAGAAATGTTATATCGAAATTCAGAACGTTATATTTAAGAAGTTATACTTATGTTTCTCTCAATTTATCGAATCGACTGAGGCTAATATTCTATTTGATTGTTTATAGCCTATCTGTTGAAGCTTGGCCTTTTAAATTTATAATTCACTCGTTTACTCGGTGTAATCACGTTGTTCTTACATATTCAGTTTTTGAAGTAAATTACACTGCAATGTTATTTAACAGAAAATACTGACATATTACATTATGGAAGTAGGTTATACTACAATAATGTTTAACTGAGGTTATTGACGGATTACATTATAAAGGTAGCTTACACTACAATGATGTTTAACAAGGAATACTGCCAGGTGACATTATGGAAGTAGCTTACCCTACAGTGATGTTTAGCAGTGGATGCTGCTAGGTCACATTATGGAAGGAGCTTACACTACAATGGTGTTTAACAGAAAATACTGACATATTACATTATGGAAGTAGGTTACACTACAATAATGTTTAACTGAGGTTATTGACGGATTACATTATAAAGGTAGCTTACACTACAGTGATGTTTAACAGGGAATACTGCCAGGTGACATTATGGAAGTAGCTTACCCTACAGTGATGTTTAGCAGTGGATGCTACTAGGTCACATTATGGAAGTAGCTTACACTACAATGATGTTTAACAGGGGATACTGCCAGGTGACATTATGGAAGTAGCTTACCCTACAGTGATGTTTAACAGTGGATGCTACTAGGTCAAATTATGGAAGTAGCTTACACTACAATGATGTTTAACAGAGAATACTGCCAGGTGACATTATGGAAGTAGCTTACCCTACAGTGATGTTTAACAGTGGATGCTGCTAGGTCACATTATGGAAGGAGCTTACACTGCAATGATGTTTGACAGAATATTTTGACAGGTTTCATTATGGAAAATATTTACATTTTTTGTGGAAGTATTTTACAGTACCAATTGTATAACAGAGGATACTGACTGTAAAATATAACATTAGAAAAATAAGTTACACTACAAGGCTTTTTAAGTGAAAAATACTGACAAACTTCATTGTGAAAGTATGTTATACCCTAGGGTTGTTTAACAGGTGACATAAGCATATTGTTTTAAGGAATACTCAGTCTTGAAGGTTATTCAGCATAGACTTTTGTTTGCTTAACTTAATTTATTTAATTTTGTTCGATCTCTCGACGTTTTAACTCTGGTGTGAGATATTGGAACTTACATTTTTCCTAAGTTTGAAGAACGATAAGGATCCTGTGCCAGATAATATTTCCCGCAGGGTATTTAAGAAGGTTAAGAATTGGATATGTGAGACACTTGCTACTATATTTTGTAAGTCCTTGAATACTGGACAGGTGCCAAAGGATTGGAAGTTGTCTAATGTTACTTCTCTTTTTCAAGGGAGGTGACAAAAATTATCCCAGTAATTAGAAACCTATTAGTCTTACATCAGTTGTAGGAAACATTTTTGAAAGTCTGATAAAAGATGCTTTGCAAAGTCATTTATCAAAGCTTAGAATTTCATTGGATAGTCACTGAGGAAAAATCTTGCCTTACAAATCTTTTGACATTCTTTGAAAATGGTACTGCTTATTTAGATGAGGGTAAGTGTGTAGATTTGGTGTATCTGGATTTTTATAAAGCACTTGATAAGGTGTCATATAAAAGACTTGTAAAGAATTATCTCTGTATGTGTGGGGGGTAAGTTAGATAATTGGATAGAAGAGTGGCTGGATAGAAGAAAGCAGAGGGTTGTTACAAATGGAGTTCAGTCAATCTGGATTAATGTCACAAGTGGGGTACCTCAGGGCTCAGTCTTAGGAACTTTGCTCTTTTTGATTTGCATCAATGACATAGATGAAGGAATGGTCAATAAATTACTTAAATTTGCTGATGATATTAAGGTCTTTGGTGTTGCTAGCTGTGAAGACGATGCTGTTACCTTACAAAAGGATTTAGATAATTTAGTAAGTTGGGCAAATAAATGACAAATGGGTTTTAATTATAATAAATGCAAGATAATACATGTGGGTTATCATAATTTGAAGTATAACTATAATTTGGATTGGAATAACCTTAACAGTGTTAAGAAAGAAAGGGATTTTGGTGTAATGGTTGATTAGTTGATAAGCCATCCAAGCAGTGTATTTTTGCTAGTGGCAGGGCAAATAAGATTTTAGGTTGTATCTACAGAAATATTTAATACAAGTCTAAAGATGTTATAATTTCACTGGATAGGACAGATTAAGAGTATTGTGTTCAGTCTTGGGCTCCTTACCTTGGGAAGGACATCGACTTGTTGGAAAGGGTTCAGAGGAGGGATACTATAATGGTGCCTGGGATGGAGGGGTTGTCATATGAGGAGAGTTTAAGATCTCTGGAATTGTTTTCTCTTGAAAAATTGAGAGTTAGAGAGGATCTGATTGAGGTGTTTAAGATTGTTAAAGGAATTGATAGTGCTGATGCATCATCTTTTTTCATACATAATGATGAAAATAGTAGGACCACAGAACACAAATATAAATTTTGGCTGGATAGGGGTCATCTTCAGGTAAAACACTTATATTTTTCTAAGAGGGTAGTTGGCCTTTAAAACGGGTTGCCTTCAGATGTTGTGGAGCCAGTAAATATAAATGAGTTTGAGAGAAAGCTTGATAAGTATGTGAATTATATGGGCTGGCTTTGAGTTTTTCTTATATTACTAGTTTTAGCTTAGTTTGGAGAATAGGACAGCCTAAATGGACCAATAGGTCCCTTGTTATCCCTAATCAAGCCTTTTTATAAAAAAATTTGTGAAAACCAAGTCAAAACCTATATGTTATCTAAGAGTATAATCTATTACCAACAGTTTTTGATAATTTTCGATTAAAACAACGAATGAAGATGGTAAAATGTGCTATATTTATACATCATAATTTTTGTAGAAAATTATTTTATTATTATCAAAAAGGAAGAGCAACAATTACAAAGAGTTTCTGAATCTGTAAGTTATTAGCTAATGAAATTCTATATTGTGCTCATGTCAGTGCTAACATTTTAGACATTCTCTCTTCTCATACATAAACACCAAATACAACTGGTCTTCAATGAAGCTAATTGTCGTAAAAAAATGGGAAACTGATTTTTTTACGATGTAAAACAACTGTTCAGTTTTATCAATAGTTGACAGTTGTCTTATTAACGAATGTTTGTCTGTGTTTAAGCGCTGAACTATACAAAATCTACACATTGCCCACCGAGAATAATAAGCCCCTATTTTAGCGTTATAAGCTCTAAAGGCTACCGCTGAGCCATAGAGGGGCCTCAGTCAAAAGGTTGTCTTGTATTACAAATTTCATACGGCTATTTCAGGTTTTAAAGGAAAAACACTGGAGGTGCATATTTAGTGTGTCCTCCGGTGGGTCATTGGTAAATTTATAGACTTACAATGTTAAAATCCGGGGTTCAATTCCGCGTGGTGGGCACAGTAGATAGGCTAATGTGACTCAACACTAAAACAAACAAACTTATTTAGTGTGTTAAATTAATAGAATTTTACAGAACGTATAGACGAATGGCGGATTTTTAGCGTCGTAATGTTTACGAAAGGTCTGTTTTCTTACAATGAAAACGTACATGCCACATTTAACATGTACATTTAATTGCAGAAAGGATTGTGATTGAAAGCATTTAAAATACGTGTTAATGTCGATTGTTCTGCTAATGATAATTAAATGTTCTGAAATGAATGGTAATTAGTATGTTACAGAAACTAGAAGGAAGAAACGTAGAAGAGTAAACACGAATGACTTAAAGTTGTAACAACAGATTTGTAGCTCTGTTGGGGAAAAACAACTTACTTAGGTAAATTAATTAGATCTGCTCCTCCGAGAAATAAATCAAATGGAAAGTATTGTTTTCATTCCTTTTAGTCAGTCCGTTAATACCACGGCCCAATTACTGGCTAAAAGCAATAATTATTTATTTTCAACAAAACTGACGTCAAAAATATGCATATTGCTTTACTGGTGACTGAATACTGTAACATTTTCAAAAATAAATTTTAAAAAATAAGTCCGTGTTTTTGAGGGTTGAGGAAAAGACTGGTCGATCTGAGATGAATTCATGTATTAAACGCTAAGGTTTTAGATTTGAAACAAACATGTTCATCGATAATCTCCCAATCTGATTTTTTCCCAATATAAACATTCTGGCATTATTTATACTTAAAAGCGCTCATTTTTCAAGATCCTAAAGAGCTAAATAAGTGCATAACCTTTGAAATCCTCCAACAGCTATAGCTGCCCGGTTTTAAGCAAATTAATCATTTTACGATATCATAACTAATTGTGTTGCTATCCAGTAGTTCAATAATTGGATTTTGTTTCGAGAGTTGAAGTGACTAGACTGCAACAATTCTAAATTTTACTGATTTGTAATTGGTTGTCTCTCTGTCTCTTCACAATTACAAATCTGTAGAATTTAGTTGTCTCTCTGTCTCTTCACAATTACAAATCTGTAGAATTTAGTTGTCTCTCTGTTTGTCCACAATTACAAATCTGTAAAATTTAGTTGTCTCTCTGTCTCTCCACAATTACAAATCTGTAGAATTTAGTTGTCTCTCTGTCTCTTCACAGATTTGTAATTGTGGACAGACAGAGAGACAACTAAATTCTACAGATTTGTAATTGTGGACAGACAGAGAGACAACTAAATTCTACAGATTTGTAATTGTGGAGAGACAGA